CATGACAGTTTGATACATTGCTCAAAAACTATACACACCCTTAAAAGTAGCCCCCAAAAATGCAACCTGCAAGGGTCAAAAATTTCCCACAACTGATCTCCAAAACTCAAGTTCAGCCCAGAATTGAATATTTGTGCAGCAAAAAAAACAAGCACAGATTTCATGTTAAAGAGGTAATGGTCATTCTTTATTTTTAGTTTAAGAATACTGTTAATGTATATATGTAGGCCTATACGTGAAACAGATACAATGGTTTTGTAACTTCTGGTCTATCTTTGAGCCTGAATGTGCAAGGGTTCCCCAAGGCCTGAAAAATATTGCAAGGGTTTCTCAGGGATTAGAAGGTAGAGAAAGGCTGGTTTGAAGTATTCTGGTCCAAAATACAGCAGTGCAGAAATAATGGGTGCACTTTAGTATGCTCAAATAACACCATTACTCTGTAAGTTGCACTGGTTCCCATTAGGCTTCTGAGTGCAATTCAAGGTGCTATATGTCACTTATAATGCCCTATGTGGCACAGAGCTGAATTATTTGTGGGAGTACCTGTCTGATTATTTCCACCCATCCCACTAATTTGCACAGGCTAGGTATGCTGTATTGTCATCTAATGGGATCTAGGAGATGTGCCTTCTTTGTTGCTGCTCCTGACCTTTGGAATGAGCTCCCCACTAAGGTGTGAGCAGCCTGATCCTATTAACCTTTCACAGAGCTATGTGGACCTGGCTTTTCTCCAATGCATTGGGCCAGGATGGAAACAGAGCCTGCCCTGTTTGTTATTCCCAGCCTCAGTTACCCATTTGTGTACAATTGTGGTTTGTGAATTTGTTTCATATATTTTTCTTTGTTTTGGATTGTTTTTCATTTTTATTGAGCTACACCACCCAGGATCATAAATTATGAGTCGGGGAACCTTATATATTTCTTAAATGAATAAATGCTGGTTGGGAAGTTCTGGGAGTTGAAGTTCACACATCTTAAAGTTGCTGAAGTTGAGAAACATTACTTTAAGGGGAAGTTCATTTTTAATTAATTACAATTTGCAGTGCTGTTTTAACCTGGCAAGAATGTTCTGTTCTACTCTATTTCATTCCTTATTCTATTTCTGTTTAAGAAGAAGGTAAAGACATTTTTGTGTTGAGCAGGGCAAATAGCCAAAAGGTTATTGATAACAGAAGAAATCAGCAGCATAATGAAACCACCTTATATATTCTGGATTTTGTCTTCCACTATAGCAAACAGATATAGAAAGTACTACTTTCCTGAAGAAAAGGTCAGATAAGCAAAGCTTAGAATACAGATTATATTCCTAAATACACAGAATCCTATCGTTCACATTTCATTTATTATTTGTTACTGAATTTCTATCCTGTCTATCCCATCTTTCTGTTCATTCCAACCTTCAATACATCTTAGAGTATTAAAAAAAATACACTGTATAAAACATAACAATGAAGTTGATATCATGAGAATCAAAACTGACCTGTTTCAGGCTTCAAACTCTCACATGCAGTTGCTAGGTGAGAATAGCAATTTACTCAAGGCTGAGCAGATAACAGCAGACAAGGGAGACAATATAAATCAACAAAGTCTCTTGGAAGGAAACTTGCCTGGGTAGTTTTGCTTTCAACAGGAACACACAGAAGAGAAGTCAAAATCCAGTCTGAAGTTCAAAGTTCAAACCAAGTAAGGTTTGCTAACAAGTCCAAAAGTCAGAGTTTCACAAGCAGAATTCACAGGAATGACACACTGAAGCAGTAAATCAGATGGTTGTTTCCAGTGGAGAAACATGGGTCAGGGATTCCTCTTAAATCAAGCTGTAGCCAGCTATCTTCAATTAAGATAGTTTCTCCCTTACTAGGCAAGGAGCCTCATTGAGTATCTTTGTTCTGCTCTCCACTCTACTTGCTGAGTCTTGGGGGCTGTGATCATCTGACTGCTTCAGCTATTCTGATGGTGCCTGGGCTTGATGATCAGGTGATTTTTGGCTTGGTGTCTCCTGAGGCTGACACTCCACAGGTTTAGCTGGAGCAGCTTCTTCAGAGTCTGAGTCCTGGGCCGTGACAAAAACCAACATTGAAATCCATCATTAAAATTATTAAATATTAAAAGCTTAGCAAAAGATACACGTTTCTGCCATCTGCCTACATTTTTGGAGAGTGGGACTAAATGCCCCCTTTTTCAGAAGTCACGGGAGCCACAAAGCAGGAGGTCCTTTCCCATGAGTTTCTGATAGAAGGGACACTTTCAGAAGGGTCTCTCCTGCTGATTTAAGTAATGCAGCAGATTGATAGCAGGAGAGAGTATCTCAAACAATCAAACTCTACGCCACTGAGGGCTCTAAATGTCAGCCCCACTATATAAATAGAAATCAACTCCATTAGAAGGCTAAAACTTCTTATATTAAGATTGGCTGTAGTAACAGAAACTTGCAAGTTGGATTGTGCTTTACTTCCCCGGTACTCATGTGAATTAGGGAGGTGTGTGCCTCAGCTGCTTTCACACTCCTTCTGCTTGTTTTGGACTTAAGCCATGTTTTTCCCTCCATCGCTTTGGTAACAGCTGGCCTATCTCTTCAAGGTCATTTTCCTTACTGTCTACATTAAAGATCAACCCCAACACTTTAAAATACATCTGACAGGCAGTTGATAGTCGTTGCCAATCTTTTGGTGTAGGGTTCAAATGTATCTTATACATGTCAACAATCTGACTGTTGTGTTTTGCATCAGTTGCAATTTCTGGACACATTTAAGGATAGACTATCCTTGTAGTAATCAAAATAGATTGTTACCAAGTCATGCATAGCAATTGTGGAGTCTAACAGACTCAAGAAGTTGTGGCTATCACACTAGTTATAATTGTGTGGACATGTTCCATGTTACAGCCACTACCTGCAAATCCAGTGACATTAAGGAGTACTTCCAAACAGCAACCCTGCTTTTTTTGGCTAATACAGTCCCATCCAGAATAGGCTTCACTCAGTTCCTGAGTCCTGCTTTCTTCTTACCAATGTACTATTGTTTTATGTAAATCGGAAGCTTCAACTGGTTCAGAATACAGCAGCATACACAGTGATGGGCATGCCTTGGTATGCACGTGTGACACCTCTGCTTCATGAGCTGTACTGGTTGCAAATTTTGGGTGTGATTCATGGTGCTGATTATCACCAATAAAGCCTTACATGGAGGGAATGCCTATCTCCCTTGGTTTCTGTCTAGTTGTAGGATACAATAACAGAATCTGATAAGTCTGTGCAATTTTTCTCTGTCCTATCTTATATTAAACAAAATCAAGGCAGGGTTATTGTGTATTTCTTTTTCATGCTTGCTTCAATCTGTGGACTGTGTAATCTGTTCTCCAAATCTCTCCTTACAGCTCATTCCTTCTTTCCTTCCTTCTCCTCTTATGGCTCTTTCATACCTTCCCTGAGGTCCGCTCTGACTTTGTTTACAGAGAAGACCAAAAGCACTACAAAACAATCCCAAAGCTGAGCCCTGGCAGATGGCACAAAAGAATACCATGGTTGATAATACTGAAAGCTACCAAGAAGTTTAGAGAAATTAGCAGTGTTGCATTCCCCACATCTCTATTCTGGCATAGGTCATCTAACTAGGCAACCAAAGTAGTTTTGGTACCATATCCTAGATAAAACCCTGATTGAAATAGGTCCAGAAAATCAGGTCATCCAGATGCATCTGGAGCTGCAAAGCCACTACTATCTTGATCTTCTTACCCAGGAATGGAATATTTGTGACTGGCCTATAATTAAAAAGATCTGGATCAAAGGAAAGACCTTGTTTTCAACAGTGATCTTATAACTTCCTCCTTTAAGCAGGCAGGAACAGATCCTGCATTTAAGTAGTCATTAATCACCTCTCAAGTCTGGGGCCAATTCCAGTTTGGCTGACTTAATTAGCGAGGAAGAGCAGGAGTTGAGTAATCAGGTGATAGTGTCCTTCATGGCAGACAGGAAAACTTAGCTACTCATGATCAAGCAATCTCAACGTGGACATTGAAATCCCTCAGAACAAGAAGTCCAGGGTAACCTTGTGCCAGCCAACTAATTCAGAAAGAGAGATTGTTATGCAGCAGGAACACTAATGTTTTCCCTACGTTGTCCCAGCTACCCAGATGCAGTTGCAAATATTGGACTCCATATTGATAGATGGTTAGATGGAGGTCGTGGTTAGTGAGATGAAAGTCCTATAGACTATGAGTGGACACTACCCTTGCTCACCTACAAGACCTAGTCTATTGCATCATAAAGTAACACAGTAGACAGAGTTAGGAGGGATTACCCTGTTCCTTTGGATTGTCTCTACAATATATCAGCACTTTCACCCAGAATTATATCTTGGATAATAGATGTTTTGCCAGCAGCTGGTAAAAAATATTTCTTGATTCGGTGTGAGCATCTTCTGGCATAAACCACTTCCCTTTTTTGCATCTTGCACATTTTATGTATCAATTAAAATAAAATATTAAGTGATATTTCAAGCTTCACATCACTCAGCTTGAGAAAGATATTCTTGCTGTGAATTGCTGATAATATATGTGTTCATGTATGTGTCTGCTTGGTATTTGCTGACTTATACAGGACAGTATTTGTTTAAATTCAAAGCTGAGTGAAGAACTTTCATATATTAGAAAACTAAGTCATGAAAGTTCAGCTGTTCTTAGGTATTATAATGCACTAGTAAGATTGATAATGAAATTTTCTGTCCAATTAACTGCAGGATCTGGTTTTGATCCAATTTAAGTCCATCAAACCTAATTGGAATTATTAAACCCACTGCTGCATTAAGCCAGCATCCCATCCTACTCTTTTAGGTCCTGATTACCTCATACTGGCTAGAGATGATGGGAACTGTATTCCAGCAGAGCAGGAGGGCTCCTGTTTAGGAAAGTCTGGTATAAATTACTGTGTCAAATTTGCCATATAGATGTAATTTCACTTTGTAACCTTTTCTGATTTTCATTCCTCCCTCACTTCCCAAATGCAGATTATTGACAAAGAAATCAATCCATTTGTGGACAAATGGGAAGAAGAGGGACAGTTTCCAGCACACCAAGTTTTTAAAACTCTCGGGAAAGCTGGATTTCTTGGAATAGACAAGCCAACTGGTGAGAAAGAAACACATTTTAATATTTGCCTGTAATTTGGAAAGCATGTTTAATATTTGGCTCAAGGATTTAGAAGTTGGTCATTCTAAATGTATCCTAATTATAGTATTTTAATTTGGATGGGAATGTAAAGTCATGCAAGAGGCAAACAAATACAATTTTATACTAAAATCTATAGCAGGTTTTTATCTAGGACATCCTTTGAATATGTTACTGGAACTTTTTTTACTTGAGGTGTCAAACTATATAGATCTTCATAAACTCCTTTAATAAATTTTACTTACTGTTATAATTAATTGATTTAAATGCATTTTTGTTCTTCAATATCTGTTGTGTGGTTTTTCCCTCCACTGTTCCGTGTTCTGTGTTGTCAGCCCTTGGAAAATATGCAAGAAATAAGGGCCTTAAAGCAGTGTTGTCCAAACTTGGCCACTTTAAGATGAGTGGACTTCAACTCCCAG